GTGGGTGGAATTGGGGTGTGGGGGTTGTTGAATTTTTTTTTTTTTTTTTTGGTTAGTTTTTTATTTGATTTTTTTATATTAGTTATTTTAAAGATATATTTTTTTTGTCCACATGGAGTCCATGTCATTAAAAAATTGAACTCACATTCGCCACATCAGCATTTAACAAACTTACTAACGATCTGACTAATAGTGGGGGCAATTTGTAGGTTTTCTAGGAGTTTGAGTATGTACTCGTAAATGTCTCTAAAATTGGATATGAACTTGAAAATGACCCTATAATTTAGGTGGTTTTATGTAGTTTGTCCAAAATAAAATATCAATTTTCCGATGTAGTACTTTTTATATTAGGTACTTGCGTTTAAAATTAAAAAACTCAATTTCATTTGCCTCAATAGAAAATGACGCGTAGTAGGTTAGTCCATGGTTGACATAAAAACGACGCATAGTCAGAAACGTTATAACCAAAAAACAGTCTTCTGGTCGTGCTGATGGGTGCAAATATAATAAAAAAATATTTCTGACTTCATCTTTCACTAATGGCGAGGGACGAAATTTCTAGGAATTTTCGCATTATAAAAATGTCAAAAATAATATGTATATATATATATATATCTATAAAGCAGAAGACAAAGAATAGTGAAACATTCAAAATACCAGAAAATGCCTTTGGTTAATTCAAACATTAAGAATTGAAATTATTAATTAAATGAGGAAAATATAGCAAATTCACATTTTTTTCAAATTAAAAAAATTAAAATTAAAAACAAAATCATATAAAAGGTCATACTTTTATGGAACATAACTATCCATATTATTTTTTCTTAATTCTAAAAATAAATTAAAAAAAGAAAAAAGAAAACCAATTGGCACATGCCAAGGGGCTAGTGACTTTAAAACAAGAGGGTTTTGTTGACCCAAAAAAAAAGAAAAAAAAAAATTGGTTTCGTTGTGTTGGTAGTGGGTGGCTATTAATAGAGATTATTGGCCGAGTCCCAGTCCAATTTGATCCTTAAAATGGGAGGGTGGGTAACCCAAGTGGGGGCATCATGGGCTCTTTAAATTTTCTATAGATGATATTTTATCCACTTTTCTTTCTGTTTTGTCTATATATATAAAGCAAAAGGCAGAGTGGTAAAACATTCAAAATACCAGAAAATGCCCTTGGTTAGTGCATATATTAAGAATTGAAATTATTAATTAAATGAGGATAATATGTTAAATTCACTCTTTTTCATATTAAAAAAAATTAAAATTGAAGGAAAAATCATATAATGGATACTCTTTTTATGGAACACAACTACCCATTATCTTTTTTAATTCTAAAATAAATTATTTAATTTTTTTTCAAAAAGCATCTCATAGGTGCGGAAGCGCGTGCGGAGAGGCTAGTATATATAAAGCAAAAGGCAGAGAGTGGTAAAACATTCAAAACAACAGAAAATGCCTTGGTTTATGCAAATATTAAAAACTGAAATTATTAATTAAATGAGGATAATATGGTAAATTCACACTTTTTCATATTAAAAAGTTAAAATTAAAAGAAAAATAAGATAATGGATCCTATTTTTATGGAACACAACTATCCATTATCTTTTTTAATTCTAAAATAAATTTAATTTTTTTAAAAAAAAGCCTCTCACAGGGTTTAGGGTGCAGAGAGGCTAGTCTAATTTATTTTAGAGTAAGGGTTTGTTAGGTCCACCAATTTAATATTTTCCATGCTATTTCAATTTATATGAATAACATTCATCTGGCATATATTTAAGTGACGCTAACATGGCATAAAATTTTGCTTCACTTGTTTTTTGTTTGTTTGGGTAAAGGAGTATTATGGCTGTATTAAATTATCAAGAATTTTTTTTTTTACATTAACGTCTTGTTTGATTATAAAACCGAAAAAGGTGCAGGAGTTGGCAGATCATGCTCAACTATTTGTTTAATTTCAGTTGATTGTGATTTTCAGTCAAACACGGTGCACACACAGATTTGGTCGTCTTTCTGAAATAATAATTGTCAGCACCAATGTATGCTTTCTTGTATTAGAAAACAGTATGTTAAGTTCTAGTAATTCTTAAAAAAAAAAGAAGATACATATTAGCTCCAACTTACAACTTTCAAGTGAAATTTGCTAAATTATATTAATGCTGAAAGTGAAAGATACTTCAAAATGGTATCTTATGGGCTTGAAAAACTTAGTTATAATTTTGATTTTATGGTATAATACTAGGGTCATGCTAAAGAATTGAGGACTCTTTGATTTATTGCATGATAATAAATCCTAGGGTTAATACTAAATTCTATGATTCATGATGTTTTTTTCCCCAGAGCCTGAAAATCTTGTTGGTCATACTATCTTTTGAAATCCCATTACTTAACCAAATGATCATGATAGTTGTTGAAATCCCATAATATGCTATTTCAAACCCGGAAGATTATTTTGATCAAAACAAAAAAAATTGTAAAATAGGCTTTTGAATTCTCCTTTTAGAAATAAAGGAAAGTTTTAGTTTGTAACATTTGTGTTTTCAGACCTGCAACAACTTTTAATACCTTGCATATATTGAATGCTGACATGCATTGAGAGTAGTTCAAATCTGATGTAATAACTGACAATAGGACTTCGTTAAAGATCTTATTTGAGGACTGTACAAGAGAAACAACTGCATATATGCGTGCAGATGCACAAATGTGGTTGTAAGCTATATATGTTTGAATATATTCGGTGGTTACTCTGTTATTTTCGGTTGAAGACTTTGACTTGTGAACTTTTACTGCTACTATAGTTCTGGGGGACTCTGATTGTCATCTGTTTTTTGACTTTGTTATTCTTCTTTGTTTTACCAGGAAAAGATTCGAGTTTCTCTTTACGTTCAGCAAGCAGCACTGCAGTTTATTAAAGGTATCATCTTTAAGTTTATAGGTCAAGTAAAGGTTCATTATGTGTGTGCTGATGTCATGTATTCATTCCTTCTCTCTCTTTGTTATGTGATCTTATGAAGCTCGTGCTGGTGATCGATCCAATGAAAAGCCAGGACAGGATGAATACAAGCTGTCTGAAGATGCCAGAACTGCAGGTTTCAGCATTCACCCAGATGAACTTGCATCCATCACGTGTGGCAGTGATATTAAGGCCTTGAAAATGCATGGTGCTGGTGATCGATCGAATGAAAAGCCAGGACAGGATGAATACAAGCTGTCTGAATATGCCAGAACTACAGGTTTCAGCATCCACCCAGATGAACTTGCATCCATCACGTGTGGCCGTGATATTAAGGCCTTGAAAATGCATGGTGCTGGTGATCGATCCAATGAAAAGCCAGGACAGGATGAATACAAGCTGTCTGAAGATTCCAGAACTGCAGGTTTCAGCATTCATCCAGATGAACTTGCATCTGTCACGCATGGCCATGATATTAAGGCCTTGAAAATGCATGGTGCTGGTGATCGATCCAATGAAAAGCCAGGACAGGTTGAATACAAGCTGTCTGAAGATGCCAGAACTGCAGGTTTCAGCATTCACGCAGATGAACTTGCATATATCACGTGTGGCCATGATATTAAGGCCTTGAAAATGCATGGTGCTGATGATCAATCCAATGAAAATCCAGGACAGATTGAATACAAGCTGTCTGAAGAAGCCAGAACTGCAGGTTTCAGCATTCACCCAGATGAACTTGCTTCTATCACGTGTGGCCATGATATTAAGGCCTTGAAAATGCATGGTGGAATTCATGGGATTTTAAGAAAAGTCTGTGTGTCGCTAGATGGAGGAGTCAAAAATAGTAACATACCAATCAGGCAAAATGTTTATGGCTTAAACCGCTATACGGAGAAACCTCCCCAAACATTTTTTGAGTTTGTATGGGAGGCCCTACAAGACGTAACATTAATTATCCTTATGGTATGCGCTGTGGTTTCAATAGGAGTTGGAATTGCCACTGAGGGGTGGCCAAAAGGCATGTACGATGGTGTGGGAATTTTAATTAGTATAGTTTTAGTGGTTGTGGTTACTGCCGTCAGTGACTATAGACAGTTGTTGCAATTCAAGGATTTGGACAGGGAGAAGAAAAAGATTTTCGTTCAGGTCACTAGGGATAAAAAAAGACAAAAAGTTTCCATTTATGACTTGGTTGTTGGAGATATTGTCGATTTGTCAATGGGGGACCAAGTTCCAGCTGATGGGATTTTCATATCAGGATACTCTTTGCTGATTGATGAGTCAAGCTTGTCAGGTGAGAGTGAGCCGGTGAATGTATATGAAGAGAAGCCTTTTCTTCTTTCAGGAACTAAAGTGCTGGATGGGTCAGGTATAATGCTGGTGACAACAGTTGGTATGAGAACTGAATGGGGAAAGTTGATGGAAATTCTGAGTGAAGGAGGAGAAGATGAGACCCCGCTGCAGGTAAAGCTGAATGGTGTTGCTACATTTATTGGTAAAATTGGTCTGACTTTTGCTGTGTTGACATTTTTCGTATTGGCAGTGAGATTTTTGGTGGAAAAAATACTTAACAACGAGATCACTGATTGGTCTTCAACTGATGCAGTAATCCTATTGAACTACTTCACTATTGCGGTAACTATAATTGTTGTTGCAGTTCCCGAAGGATTACCATTGGCAGTGACGCTGAGCCTTGCTTTTGCTATGAAAAAGTTAATGAATGATAGGGCACTCTTAAGGCATCTCTCAGCATGTGAGACAATGGGTTCTGCTAGTTGCATTTGCACAGATAAAACAGGGACATTAACCACAAACCACATGGTAGTTAACAAGATATGGATATGTGAAAAACCTTTAGATGTAAAAGGTAATGAGAGTAAAGAAATATTGAATTCAGAAATATCTGGAGCATCAAGCATCCTTTTACAGGTTATATTCCAAAATACAAGCTCTGAGGTTGTTAAGGAAGATGATGGAAGGACCTCCATTTTGGGGACACCAACAGAGTCAGCATTATTAGAATTTGGTTTACTTTTGGGTGGCAATTTTGATGCTGTGCGCAGAGAGGTTAATATTCTTAAGGTTGAACCTTTCAGTTCTGTGAGGAAGAAAATGTCTGTGCTTGTGGCTGATCCTCATGGTGGGAAACGAGCCTTTTGCAAAGGTGCATCAGAAATAGTACTGGGAATGTGTAACAAATTTATTGACTTTAAGGGAGAATCTGTTATTCTCTCCCGAGAACAGGTAAAGAATATCACGGATGTCATTAATTCTTTTGCTTCTGAAGCCTTGCGAACGCTCTGCTTGGCTTTCAAAAATATAGATGACTCTTCCATCGAAAATGACATCCCAGATGATGGCTATACATTGATAGCAGTTGTTGGTATCAAGGATCCTGTGCGCCCTGGGGTCAAGGATGCAGTTCAAACTTGTTTAGCTGCTGGAATAACCGTACGAATGGTCACTGGTGACAATATAAATACGGCTAAAGCCATAGCTAAAGAATGCGGCATACTCACAGAGGATGGTTTAGCCATAGAAGGACAGGAGTTTCGTAACATGTCTCTTGAGCAGAAGAAAGCTGTTATACCGAGAATTCAGGTTACTAAATAATTTCATTGGAAAATTTTCACCCTCAACCATAACTATTTAAAGATGTTCACAAAAAATTTAAATGTTCATGTGGATACAGGTGATGGCTCGGTCTTTACCATTGGATAAGCACACCTTCGTGAAAACTCTGAGACATGAATTTGGTGAGGTAGTTGCAGTGACTGGCGATGGGACTGACGACAGTCCTGCTTTGCTTGAGGCAGACATTGGACTTGCTATGGGCACAGCAGGAACAGAGGTTTGTGTCACAGCTACTTTTTCTTGTGCGTATCTCAACCTTGATGACCAAGCATCATCTTACTCAAATAACTCATTCTCTAACACCCATTTTCAGACTGATGATTTAATCCTATGTTGCTCCTTGGAATTTCATTTCCCGTAACTTCTCCTTACTATCACTTTGCAGCTTTTTTTTTCCTTCAAACTTTCAAATGTTTTCATCCAACAAAATCGATTTACTCATGACATGGCTACTAACATGATTTGTCACATATTTCACTCGAACTCATTTCATGTATGTCACATGTAGCATGCATTGACAAGACACATAATCTTTGATGGTAGGACACATGGCGCGTCATGTTACTGAGTAAAACAATTATTTTTAAGATATATTCTTGGTGCATAGCCAGAAGAAAAAACAATTAAGGCTGTAGTTTCAAATTATTGTTGTTTGTTTTATTATTTTTGTTACTAATATTACTATTTCGGTGCCTTGTGCCCATATTTACCCTTGGACAGAAATGACCACCAAAATAGAACTGCTTCCTAAGAAAACCTGAAAAAGCCTTAGATGTGATAAGAACTGCCCTCTTCAGTACCCTCCTACCAGGAAGCTGGTGAATGCAACTTGATTTTTGTAACTTGTATAACATTTACCAGAAAAAGAAAGGGAGTTTCACTAAAACACCCAAAATTGAGGTTGAAATTATAAAAAAATCCAACACCCAAAACACTTTATAAACACACCCAAAACTCATCATTACACACACTCAAAACCCATTTATAAACACACCCAAAAAGTTGACTTTGGGGTTGATTTTGGGTGTGTTTCTATGTTTAAATAGTGCTTGGGTTTTTTTATAAATACATGTCTAGGATTGGGTTTATTTATAAATTTGTAAAAAAGAAATTGGTGTCTTGTTATTTTTGTCAATTTGTGTTGCTTTTTAACACCCCTTGACTTGGGGAATAGGTCAACTTGAGATATTTACTGGGATTTTCCTCTCGTCCTCTTGCTAATTATAGCATATACTGCTTGCTAAAGGAAAAGGCAACTCCAAACTACAACATGTACCTCAACGAGCTGCTCTATGACTTTTCTAAATCATTTTTGAACCATTACTTTGTCCAATTAGTATGCTTGGAATGGTATCCTTCCAATAAATTTCAGTTGCTGATTTCTGGAAATCACAAGTCTCTCTGCTTAAATCAACTACTCAATTATATTTAGCTAATTATCGACGGGGCCTTTTTTTGTTTCCTGCAATCTGAATGTGCATAAGGTTAACTACCATTTTGTGTCATTTAGGATTTGTTTTCTCCTCTTGGCTGCTTGATAATTGGATGTTGTTCCTAGTTCTGAATAGCCAATTCATGGACGGTATATACAGGTTGCCAAGAAAAGTGCTGATGTCATCATATTGGATCACAATTTTAAGACTATAGTAAATGTGGTCAAGTGGGGACGTTCAGTGTACATAAACATTCAAAAGTTTGTGCAGTTTCAGTTGACAGTTAACGCTGTTGCTCTAATAATCAATTTTGTTTCTGCATGTGTCTCAGGTATGTTGGTCTGGCAGATTTTTCTTGCATGCTACACCATTATATTTGTTTAGATAGACACAAATAAATAACGATAAATTTCACATCTCTTTCAGGATCTGCTCCCCTTACGGCTGTGCAATTGCTTTGGGTCAGCATGATTATGGACACTCTTGGGGCATTGGCACTTGGAACAGAGCCTCCAAATGATGGACTTATAAAAAGGCCCCCTGTTGGGAGGGGTACAAGCTTCATAACTAAAGCCATGTGGAGGAATATCATTGGCCAGAGTATCTATCAACTGATTGTCCTTGGAGTTCTCAATTTCTATGGTAAACAGCTACTTGGACTTTCTGGTTCAGATGCAACTGAAGTTCTAGGCACACTGATATTCAACGCATTTGTGTTTTGCCAGGTACATTTTACTGGTTAAAAGCAACCCTAGTTTTCTCTTGCATCATCAACACGTTTAACTTTAATACAGCCTATAACTTCTTCTGGGCTATGCATGTGTCCGTCTCTCTTTCTGAAATCTTAACACACTAGTATAAGTACCCGAATCCCGCATACATATAATGTTTGTTTGCTTTTGTTTTTATCAGTTGTTTAATGAGATAAACAGCCGTGACATAGAGAAGATAAACATATTCGTGGGCATGTTTGACAGCTGGGTATTCCTAAGCGTCTTGGTTTGCACAGTGGCCTTCCAAGTTATCATAGTAGAGTTCTTGGGAGCTTTTGCTAGCACTGTTCCACTAAGCTGGCAACTATGGTTTCTCTGCATTTTACTTGGATCAGTTAGCATGCTTGTTGCAGTTGTGCTCAAGAACCCTCACAGAAGGTTCCACTTTGTCGCCAATCTCGATAAGCGATCAGAGGCTGACAAGAAGAAGCGTTAAATCCATGTCTCTTTCTCTCTCTCAGCTTATGCAGTTTTTACGTTTTTGTTTTCATTTCGTTAAAAAAATATGATCACACCGCCGTTTATAGAGGTTTTGCCGCCGTTTATAGAAGCATCAAACCAATTATCTTTATATATAGATCTAGACAATATAGAAGACGAGAGGCATGAATCATATGCAGCGGCAATGAGAAATCCAATACAACTGCCATGGTGAAGAGAGGGAACCGTCATGGGAGAATGAGTGAGCGAGAGGGGTTTAGCGGCGCTGGTGAGAACTTCGGCGATAATGGAAATTTTGTGGGAAGAGGGTAGGGGAGGAGGAAGAAGAAAGAGGGAGAGGGAAAGACTTTTTGGTAATTATTGACTTAGCTTTATTAGATGAGTTGGCATGCCACATAAGGTGGTTTATAAAGGGTGTTTTAGGAATAATGGTGGGTGGAAAGATAAGATTGTGTTTTGTCAAATTTACATGATGGGTGGAAAGATAAGGTAAGTGGGGAAATAAGACATGGGGTGGAAATAGCAGCACTTATAATAAAAAGACCTTTCTGTTGTGAAAAATAATAGTTTTCCTCTTTCTGTAAAGCCAAATACAAAATATTTATATTATAAATAACATATAAACAAATTGAAAAGCTTTGAAGGTATAATGAAATTGAAGAAAACAGAATAATTGGGAAATAAAAGGAAAATAAATAATATGTAAGAAGGTGAGTTTGGTACGGTGAAGCACGTCAAAGACGTTGTCCTAAAGCCTTTGTAGCCTCCCTATGTGCAGGTATTGACGGTCTACAAGACTTCAAGATATGACCCCTTGTACACAAACTCAAGATCCGCTATGAGCACATTTATAGACAGATATAGGTATTCAAGTCACATAACCATTGCCCAAAATAATAATAATATAAAGTAGAGAATATATTTAAAAATTGAAAAGGAGAGAATTAGAATATGTATGAGATATTCTGATAGTGTATTGTGGTTCTTGTATATATTGTATATATCAAATGTGAAGGAGTGGCTTTTTATAGGCATCCAAAAACATGTAAACTTCACCAACCATAAAAGTTTACCAACCAAAAATTAAGGCATTCACCAACCAGAAATAAAGCCTCAATATTAAATATTTATAACCCCCACAATAAATAAAATAAGACAGCCAAAATAATTAAATAAATAAAATGGTTAAATTTTTAAAACCTTTTAAAATTCCAACAATCCCCCACAAGGTTTTCAAAATTTTACCATGACAAAAAAACAGTGAAAAATATATAATATATACGGGCAATATAATACTATGTAATAGGTGTAGGTGCCTTCCGGGCTTGAACCTTCACTTAGTGATGATAGTCTTCATTTGAGGAACCTGAGTGTACACAGTATTGAACTCGGCACCTTTGACCAAACTTCAACATATCCCACACATAGTTGAGACTTGGATGCGGGGCAGCGCTATTTATGGCCATACGCTAATCTTGATTCTCATGAGAGTTACTAGAGAATAGCCCAATTCTCATAGTCGCGGCCTCACGACGTCTCTCACTTAGGTGAGTTCTCCAAGAGTACATGTGACCCGTACTCTGCGGGAGTTTGCCCGCCTCGAAACTCATTAAGGGATAAATCCCTTCCTAACGTCACATAAAATAGCACATTTGCCTTAGGGATGAGCAGAAGAATATCTCAAGGATATCTCCATAGTTTTATGAATGCTATATGAGTCACGCAATATGGATTGTTTATACCACATTGAACTTCCTTCATGGGATCTCCAATCACAGAAGTTGGGTTACCTCCCTAGGTGACTCCCTTATGGACTTAAGCACATCCTCCTCGACATTTTGCATTAATAGCCTCCTCCACAAGGCATGCATATCAAGACTAGCCTTCACAAGGCATATATAATGTAGGTCATGTCTTTGTTCTTCATTTTAGCGCGCTTTAAACGTGCATGTTATTAAAATATTTCCTACACAATCTTGCACTCAAATAATTAGTGGATTTCACCTCAGTATAATCGGGAATTAAATACGCATTGGTATATAGTTAAGTATAATGGAAATACATCATACATTAAATCTTTTGATCAAGAGTACCTCTCAAGTCCATGAAACTTTGAGTACACCTGCTATCACTTATGAACAACAATATAACAATTAATTCATTAAATAAATTTAATTATAAACATTGAGTATTTTAGGATACCCTTACTCCCTTTTGTGCACTCCAAATGGCTGAAATCATGATCACATATCCAAGTTGAAATTGTATCTTGTTGATTCTCAATATGAACCTATAAGACAATAAGAATTCTCTACCAAAATTTTATGCCAAAATCATCATTAGTTGCAAATATTTTTGTATCAAATTGAAGATAAATTATTCTCATAATAAACTTTCAAAATGAAACAAAATTCATACAGACACAGTATGTTTGCCAATAAAATATAAAAAGTATTATGTCACTAAATGAATCTTTCCCATGAGAGCATAAAGAAATTGAAAACAGACAATAAATTATGGGAGAGAGAGAAGGAAGGAAAGCCTACAAAAATGAATCTAATATTTTTCAGTATAAAAGCAAAAAATGCTTAATGTTAGTAACAAATGAAATTAAAGTACTAAAGTTCCCATTTTAGGAAAATTCAACTTCCACAAATTGGTCCACACGTTTTAAAATAAAAATATTAATAATTATCAAAACGCAAATAACGTAAGCATTTGAGTGCTAATTAAAATAGAATCAATATGAATAAAGGAGATATGAAAACTTATATAATAAATGTACAAAATAACTTCAGTTTTGAAGAGGTAATCAAAACCACTCAAATTTTGGAAAATTACATTCAACATAAAATAAGTATTGAGATTAATTTTGTGTTTGAAATACCCACAAAAATTCCAACAATTACCCACATAGTTAAGGAAAAACTCAACCCCCACAAATTAGGGAATTCAAAATATATGAAGACTGTACCAAAAAAATTTTAATTTTAAATTCATAAGATATGTACTCACAGTCATCTTGATAGTCATTGTAAATATAATAGTGAAACCATCGAAAGCCTAAAAAAAAAAAAAAAAGCTTCAAAAAATTTAGGGTTTGAAGGCCTTACACCAAAACTCAAAATTAATGCCACTTACAATGATATAATTTATTATTTCATTTTGGTTTTCTCAAAATTAATGCCACTCAAAATTAATAGTTTTATGTTGGTTTGATTACACGGTTTGAAAAAAATATTAATGAATACTTTGATTGCTTCAGCAAAAAAGATTTTGTAATAAAACCTTCAGCAATTAAAAATAACCATCACAATAAGAAATTGCCTTATTTGAAAGACCAATTGAAATGAAGTCAAAAAAGAAATTAACGGCAACCAAAATAATAATTGAAAGTAATACCAAGGTACAAAACAGTTATGTCAATGAAATGGCCGTTGCAAAGCTTCTAATTAAAGTTAATGACAACAATGGATTTCAATATAGCACATTATATTGGAGTAATGAAATTTTTGAAAATATATGCATATGCACAAAATAGAATAGTCAAAATTAATTTCTCCATAAATGTAAAAAATTATCATTTTCAACATTGATGTATCAACCAAGCAGTAACTTAGAAAAACATACTTCACTTCAATATATTATTTTTTCAAAAAAATTATTTCAAAGGTCATTAATTAGCTTTTGTTGTAGAAAACGTATACACCAAAGAAAATAATAGTACGTTGAACTATAATAATAATACCACATAAATTAGTCTGTAGGTTTTTATTTTCAAACACTATAGCAGTAATTTCCCAAACGTTAGCAACAAAATTATAAAATATAAATGTACCAACAATATTTAAAGCAATTGAAATTGAACAGACAACATGAAAGCTTTAAACTGCATCTAACCAAAACAAATCGTAATTTTCAATTTGAAAATCCAATACAGATGCAAAAGCTTCAGTCAAAGAGTTAAAAGATATTAAAGCAATAGTAGTACGGGAAGAAAACAAATGTGACGTACAAAGGCTTTAGGTCAAAACTAGTTGATGGTCAAAATATTTGGAATAGAGCAAGACGTGCATACACCACAACCACCACAACTAGTTGATGGTCAAAATGTGGATCGAGCCACTCATTCATGTCAACCTCCATCTGTAATGCAGTTTGTGAATATGATTAATCCTTAATAGCAACGAGCACCACATGAAGAGAAGAAGAAGCAAGAAGAAGAGTAGAAAACAAGAAGACAGAGAAGAGAAGTAGAACCAAGAAAAGAAGTAAGATGCTCAGACTCCTCATGTTCCTACAAGAATAAAAATTGTGAAGAACAAAGAAAGAAAGAAGCGTCAAACATTATGCTATGAATATGAAAAAGATAAGCAACCAAAGAAGAAGAAGGCAAAAAAGGGTGACAAAGAATTACCGCAGTTCATACGTATGAGGCTCCGTCAACACAAGAGGCCTTAGCTTGATGCCACAAATCAAGTTCATAATTCCCCACAAGGAACAAATGTTGATGATAAGATATTTTAAGATCAAGAAAAAAAGATGAGGAAGCTGAAGCCCCAAAAAAGAAACAACAAAAAAACCAATTAAGAAGAAACTAGGAAGGGGAAGGAAGAAGGTGTGGCAGAAAATACCCAAAGAGGACCATCATTGAAGACAACTACTTAGAGCATCCACAATGGACTCCCTAAACCACCTCCTTAGATAAAATTTAGGGAAGAAATGAGAAAACCCACCTCGAACCATGGTCCCTATGAAACTCCTAAAATAGGGAGACCTCTAGAAGGTCCTAAATCTGAGGAGAGAGAAAGGACTCATAATGGCTCTCTATAATTAAATGATGCTTTACTTTAATGCTATTTTAAGTATTTATTTACTACTAATTATTTTTTATTTTTTTATATGAAGAGGAAGCATTTGTGCTAAACTAAAAAAAGAAATAAATCATTTATGATTCCCCAAATTAGATAGCATGTTGGAGTTGAAATGTTATAAAGAGCTCCTAAAATAGCTTTTTAGTGTTTTTAGCTAAATTTTAACTAAAAAATAAGGAGCATGATTGTGAGTGCTCTTAAATAGTGAAATAAGGTAATATCCCTAACTCAAAAGAACAATTATTTCATCTTAATATAATTAAAGTGACACTAATCTTGTGAATTTCATGTATTCAAATCCACAACAATATCTTATGGGAAGGAAAGCATGGTGAAAGAATTTACGAGAGTGATATCAAAGAAATTATATGGGACTTGGAACTAGGACAAAACATAAGTCTAAACTACTAATTTTAAAACACACATTGCATTGCAGTTCTTATTTGTGCCTACTATATTAACTTTTAACAATTCCATTTTTCTCAAATAAATGTGAAACAGATTATTGAACTTACATTCAAATAGAGTAGGAAAAAATAGATCCAATGCAAACAGATATACGACAATACATGTCTACATGGACTTGGGTAAGAATAATTTTCAAAATTCAAAATTGATTAAACAGACAATGCACTACAATTTTCGAAAAATATATACTAACCAATGCTCATTCAATGCTTGCATGCCTTAATGGAAAGCTTCACAAAGCCAGCTTGGCATACAACAATGTATCAATATTTGTGGGAAAAGCCGGGGAAATGCAATCTGCTATTCTTCCCAATCATTTCAAAACCGAGTACCACTACACCCTCCTAGCATTTCACAAATTAGAACAAAAGTGGAGACACTACATGTAACACCCCGACCCCAAATTTATTCAATGTTTAATTAATTTAAGTGGAATTGAGAAATTACCCGTGGGATAAGGGTATTTTGGTCATTTTCTTACCCGGAAGGAATTTGGGAATTCCGGTTGTACCGTTGCGTAGAGCACGGTGAGATGAGTCCGTAG